AGTACCTCAACAATCTCCCGATGACCGCTATGGAAATGAGATCAAACCTGGCACGAAGCTACCCGGGAAGAACCTACCGATTCTACAAAGGGCCCGTCGTGTACCCGTTCGGGCACGGAATGAGCTACACGACCTTCGTCCAAACCATAACTGAAGCTCCGAAAGTCGTGCCCGTCCCCATAGACGGGCACCGCGGGCCCAATTACTCCACGTTAAGAAATGGGTCCAACACTTGGGTCCGGGTGACCCACGCCCGATGCAGGGGGCTCTCATTGGGCCTGACCGTGGACGTGAGGAACACGGGCCCAAGGGACGGGGCCCACACGGTGCTAGTGTACTCGAGCCCGCCCGGCGGGCAGGAGGTCCCGCACAAGCAGCTTGTGGCGTTCGAGAAGGTGTGGGTTAGGGCAGGCGGGCAGGCGAGGGTTGAGGTGAGGGTTCACGTGTGTAAGTATATGAGCGTGGTGGATAGGGCGGGGGTGCGGAGGATTCCGATGGGGGAGCATGGGCTGTATGTTGGGGATGTCAGGCATTCTGTTTCATTGCAGGCTCAGATTCTTGGGGTGATTAGGTTCTGAATTCTGATGATGGGATATATAATATAGTCTTTTTTCTTTTCTTTTTTTTTTTTCCTAATTCTGTTGCAAATGAGAATTCTGTATAAGTGAGGCCATCAACCATATGGGAAAAAATGGAGGGGCCTTCCAAGAGGGTTGTTATTTCTGTTTTGCTGCCTCTTGGTTTCAATGTATTGTGGACTTTATGTATTGGGCTCAGATGATAAATTAGCAGGCTGGCCCAGTATCTTAATTTTTCAATTTGAATCATCTCTGCTGGACTTTATGTATAGTGTTTCACAAGAACCCATTTTTCCACTTAAGTATGAAAGGAGAAGAATTGTAATGGGAACTAGGAAGACGCAAAATAGAAATTTCTAATAATGCATTTGGGTGAGAGAAGAGGTTGAAAATGTCAACTGAGCAAACACGTGAAAAACATCAATGTAATCAGAAGTTTGGCAAACAAAAGTCAACTGTTGATCAATTTCATTTTTCTTTAATATTATATCATTCTATAACCAGACGAGTTTTCTCAATTTTTAAAGTAATTATCATTTTACAAAAAAAAGGAAAGAAAAATAGAGCATCGAAATTCATATTCATCACTCACTAGTCAATGTAATGATGCAGACTTGCTACTAAACAAGGCAAGTGCTATGTTGTGATTATTTATTTCATTATTTTAGTTTATTACGATCCCCTTCGCCGCCAGTTATGACTAATATGATTATTTATTTTTTATTATGGCTTAAACTGTACTTAACCCTGAAGAATAATTTCTATTAAAAGTGCTGTACAAAGGCTGCCTGTGGTGGGGCTCGATAGGACCTGCAAATGAAAAGCTTTTAGATAATTCCCTAGACAAACTCATTTGGAAAAAAAATATATTTTAGAGTTAGACTTGGATATAAATTAATATTTGTATTAATTGTATTTTAATATCATTTCCTATTATAATCATTTGATTGTAAATATATTTTAAAAGTTGATAACTTTTGTATTTCTTATCAGTTTTATATATATAATATTTCAAATTAATCAGCTTTTGATGAGTTTCGATTTGACATTCATATTGTATATATAAAATAAATCGCACATATAAGTCGCACAAATAACATGTGTCATACTAAAATATATAATAATATATACTCCCTCCTATTTTTATTATTTATCACTTTGACTTAATTGATCATTGATAAAATAAATTGATTTCTCATATTAATTTTTTAAGTATTTTAAATTTATAATATTTGATGTTTTAATATATAAATTAGTATAGACTAATGTAAACGTTTAAGTCTAAAAAATATAAACTCTTTTAAGTCTAAAAAATTAGGAATTTTACTAAATATAAACTCTCAATCTATGGTGTTAATCAACGTTTAAGTCTAAAAAATTAGGAATTTTTACCTCTTTTAATCAACGTTTATGTCCAAAAAACAATAGAGTTATTATAAGTTTTTTTTCTACATCTTTAAAACATTAAATATGAGCATGTTAGGGCTACCTTGTAAAATGATTAATATATTATCTCACTAAAATATTTATACTAATAAAAATTTAATTTTAGCATATAAATTTATCTCTTGATATAAGAGAAAGTAACAGTTTTACTTATTGTTGTTCACCATATAATATTTAAATATTATTTTATTATATAATAAAAAATAAATATTGTTAAATAGTGTAGTAGAATTGTTATAAAATTATATGATTTTTTTTTTACAATATTGATTTAATATTTTTTTATGATTTGATAATATAAACAAATATATACTTAACTTTGACAAATAAAATAAATAAATACTTTAGTAAGTATTTTATGTATATACTAAATAGGAATATATTTGGTGTAATCAAATACCAAATATAATCAAATAAGTCAAAGTGGACATTTTTATTTGGTATTTGAGTTTTTTATTATAAAAATCTTTTCATTATACTTACCTTTTTAAAATAAAACAAATAAATAAATCAATTAAATAAATAAAATATTATAATACCAAAATAGCAATGACATTTAATGCAGTTGACTTTTCTGGATATAAATATAGTAAATAGAATCTCCTTTTATATAAGTATAGATTGTATAATATGGAAATAGTAATGCAATAAATGTTGTTGACTTTTATTTATACTAAATCTGGTAAATGGTATATCTTTTAATATAAGTATAGATATTGATTAATTTATTTCCTATAGAAAGAACTATCAATAGCAAAAATAAATTCATCCATTATATACCATATATTAATTAATTCACATGATTTGATTAATTAAAGTATCTTTTAATTACTCATTATAATGGGCTGCAATTACCATATGTGATCATTTAAAATATACCATAAATTATTAAATTAATTTTTTAAAATAGTAAATAATTTTTTTTTGAGAGAAATAGTTACTATTTAAAAGATAATCAAATCTTTTTATATATATATAAATATTTTGTGTATACCGGCACGAAATATTATTTGTGACTAAATAAATATTCACGTTGCTTGAGGTCAAAGGGATTGAATTTGAAGCTTTTCTTAAACGCTGCACAAAATTAGTAAATTACGTAAAATAGTCGGAGAATCCGAAGATGTGTTGACTTTGCGGTCCGCTTACTACTCCTCAGGCCCAAATTCGATTCTTCTCTTCCAACCAAAGTAATATTCCTACATTTTATTACCTCTTTTATTCATTGACATGTCAGATAGTAATATATAAATATATAATTGTATTTGATGATATGTAAATGGATTGTGAATTAATAAGTGAACTTAATGAAATTAGTATGTTACCACTTACCACGAATTATTAATGCTAATTTCCTGTTCAGTTTTTTTTTTTCTTTTTTCAAATGAATTTGTATTATTATGGAAATATGTTTTTAAATTAATGTCTTTGGATTCCACATTTTTTTTTTGGTACAAATCTTTGGATTCCACATTGAACTAACTGATCCACACACCCGACTTATATAAAAATTCCAGTCCCATTAATTAGTAATACTAATCTCGCTTAGAGGACAATAACAAGAAGTCATGTCTGCGAGTGTCACTACTATTTGTTGCAACTGTAATTTTTCATTGGATTGCAAAATAGTTATTAGATACTCTAATGCATAAAATTATATACTCAAATATCATACTTGTAAAAAAATTAAAATAAAAATACAATACTTTATAGTATAACTATGTAATTTTTTTTAAGAAATATAACATCCTAGCACCAACATTTTGGTAAAATAATGCAGTTGATGTTAGCAAGTTTAATTGTTAAACATTCGAGATTTACTCTTTTGTACCAACAATCTACTCCTCAGATTTTTAATTAGTATAGGACAATATTAAAGTTTTGAAGTGGACACTAAAATTTACAAGTCGTAATAATATATTTTACAACGTATATATTCATCTCTTGTGAAAAATAATTTTTCCCATACATAATTAATTACATGTATCTTTTTAATTTCAAGCCTGCATTAATTTTTAACAGTTGACCTATTTTACATAAGTAGTTACGAATTATGTCAGATAATTTTCCCATTAATACGAACATGCATCTCACATTCATAAACGCATTTTTAATAGTTGACCTATTTTACATAAGTACTTCCATATTTATGTCAATTTTTTTTTCCCAAACATAATTAACAAGCATCTCAATCCTCAAATCCGTACATGCATTTTTAACAGTTGACCTTATTGTGCATACTTAAGTCAAAATTGATGTTTACTGCACTCGTAAGAGAATCATGATTGTAGGTTTCTCATTTTAGGCCATAAATTATGAATTATTATTTCGCAAATATTAAAAAAAAAAAGTTATATTAATTCATATGAAATTATAAGCACATGAGCTCTTTTAAACTTTTCTTTGTTTTGCTAAAAGCAAAAACCAATTAGGCTGGCAGTGTTGAATTGATGCCTAAATTCGCACACTTTTTTGTGGCCTGCACGATTAACGCACATGCTGCACGTGCGCTCCACAGTAATCCACTCCCTTGCAATGCCCAATCAGAGTTCACATTAAATCACTTAATTTGATTGGTTAAGTTTTAATCAACACATGCATATACACAATTACAATAAGGTTATATTAAGATAGACATGTGTAGCGGTTAGGTAGTCATATTTTTCAAATGATATGTGTATTTATGAATTGAAATGTGAAATGTTAACAAAATAACGTAAATAAAAGTATAAAAAGTGAAAAAATATGATAAATTGATTTGCGTATAGGCCAAATCACACAAAAATTTGTGTTAAAAAAATAGCCAAAGCGCTTGCACAATTAAATTTTCAAGGAGAAAAGAAAAAGGAAAAATGAGAAACTTATTTATTTGGACAAATAAGAGAAT